AGAGAACATGAAGAGAAACTGAAGAGAACATGAAGAGAACATGAAGAACCGAAGGTTTCTTTCTTCGTGGGTCACAGGGTTGTTGTTTTTTAAATAGGTTCCTCAGTCGATCAGATTATTTTAGTGAAGAACCGTTTTTTATTAATTCGGGTAAAAAAAAAAGATTAAATCAATGTTGTAGTTTGAGTTTGTAGCCACCAGGGGGCGACAGACACTTTCAGTACAAATCTCCATCCTCAGGCTCAAAGAAGAAGAGAAGCAACAAACAACAGGTGAATTATGGGAGATTCAGATCACCCCCCCACCCCCTGCAGGTATTAGATAGGACCCTTCACATGTAATAGTCGGCTCCATCCTCATGGTTCCACGTATCGAGGTCAAGACTCGTGAGACTCAAGCATCTAGTCTCCAGATATTAGACTGTCATGGCTTCCTCTTCAATCCCAGGTATTAGTTGGGTTCCACCAGCATTTAAAGCCCCCTGGACAGGACAGTATTGTGGAGTCTTGGTGCCCGTGTACCAGATATTAGTCAGGACCTAGCCGGGTATGAATTTAAGGAATCTCGCCTCCTCCAGACATTAGTTCAACTTTGTTTTGGGGAATCATGCTTTCTGTTCGTTTCCAGGAAGTAGGTGTGACCGTAGCATTAGGTCAGGAGACTGACAAGGAGTGAGGGACTCTCAGATACCAGGTAATAGATTGAACCATCTTGTCTCCAGATATTAAAAAAAGAATTTGAGCTTTATGGTTAATCTCAGTTATTAGTTGGGTCCCAACATAACTTAAAAGCTGCTGAGCTGGATAGTGTGGTGGAGTCCTTTTTTCGTGTACCAGGTATTAGTCAGTACCTACTACACAATGCCAGGTATATTAGCGAGACAATGAGCCCTTCAATTGTGTTCCTGATGGTCATGGCTCTTTGTGTCCAGGAATTAGCTGGAACCAGTCTGAGTTAACTTGATTTCCAGGTGTTAGTCACACCCATCAGTACAGTGCAGTCACCTGGGTTGTTGTCCTCTGACTGACAGCGGAGTCACCGAGGTGAGTGTGAACTTCCTGAACCGAGACGTCAGCGTGGAGTTTATTTTAAATCGTTCAGCTCAAACAGGAAGTTGTTTTCATCCTGAACTAACTTAATGTAAATGTGTAAGAGGTCGGCCAAAGAACACGAGAGCGTCTCCTTGGTTCCGAACAGGGAGCGATACTGTTTGTGTTATTAGAGATCAGAATTCTCATCCCTCCAGACGCTGTTTGTCTGGAGTGAATGAGCCATTTCACAGTGGGGGGGCAGAGGACTCCAGCACGCCTCCTGCTGGTTCAACTGTGCTGCAGGAAACTCTTTGTTTTATCTCAGACGTCTTCAGAGACTTTGTTGAACTTTGTGTCCTGATGTCCAACAGGAAACTAAAGAACATCGTCTCTCAGACTTCTTCACATTCAAGTTTTGTCAGTCACGTGATGAACAGTCCACTGATGTCGTAAACATGACAAAGTTCCGTGTGCTCCATCGTCACATGGGACACGTACGCAGCCTCATATCAGGTTCAGCGTGTCCGAAGTGAAGTCCGAGTCGTAAACAGTCTCTCTTCATCAGAGCGACGGGTCGAAGATCAAACACACGAAGCAGAAACAGATCAATAAAAAAATCAAAGAGATAAAATCAATATAAGGACGATTAATGACGATGGAAAACAAATCCAGTGTTTAAATCATCAAACAACGAATTAAAACCAAACTCATCAGAAACATGAACAAACATCAGTGTGATCGCAACGACCTCACTAATTTTTCTTGTTCGGTCAGTGTCCCACTTGCTAACATGGAGGAGGTTTATGACCTACACTGCAGCGAGCCACCAGGGGGCGATCAGGACTATTTGGCTTCACAGTCTGTGGTCTGTGTGAAACTGTAGCTTTGTTTAGATCCACAGTGAACTTCAGAAAACCCTGTCCCACACGTTGACATCACTTCCTCCGTGTGTTACCCTGGTAACCAAAAAAACGTGATTTGATGAATTTACGAGATGATGTCGTCATTATGAAAAAAGAATTGTCTCTTATTGTGGCTAATGTTAAAGTTTGTATTGATACTTAAATTACACGGCTCTGTCGACAAAACATCATTTTAGCTTTTAAGAGTA